TCTGACGGCGGGGGATGTGAGTCTTAGGGACCTTGCCCTAAAACCCGCAACCCGAAACCCTTGTGAAAGCAGTTTACCCATCCTCAACCCTAAACCCTGAACCCTGAACCCTGAACCCTAAACCCTAGACCCTTTAAACCCTAAACACTATAAACCCTAAACCGGAGCAGGTTCCCACGCGCTACCTCGTCGTCGCGGTGGCGGGGCCTCTGGCCATGAGCTTGGACATCTGGCTGGGGCTCTACAAGGACCGGGGGTTGGGGTTTAGGGTTTCGGGAGGGTTTAGGAGTTCCCATGGTTTAGGAAGGGTTTAGGGTTTAGGGTTTAGGAGTTCCCATGGTTTAGGGAGGGTTTAGGAGTTCCCCTGGTTTAGGAAGGGTTTAGGGTTTAGGAGTTCCCATGGTTTAGGGAGGGTTTAGGAGTTCCCATGGTTTAGGGTTTAGGGGCTCAGGGTCTAGTCTAGGGTTCCCGATCCATGTTCAGGTAGATTTGGGGTTTCAGACCAACAGACTATAGGCCAATAGACTACAAGACATCGCACAGGCTCTATTCATGCTACGACTCTAGGACCAGCAAGCGGCCCGATCCCAGAGACACTCGCAGCTGGGTTCAGGGGTTTGGGCTTGTGAGTCCCTAAACCCTAACGCCTAAACCCTCAACCCTCTACTCCAATCCCCAACCGTTTAGGGTCAAGGGGTTTACGGGTATGGGGGTTCGTATGGGGGTTCTTCGTTCGAGCTCAAGCTTCGGCTTGGAGAAGTTGGGGGCTGAGGGTTCATGCAGGGTTTGGGGTGTTCACTTTGAAGCCGCAGGGCTTCGTGCATCCTTTGCGTTGTGGCGCTCTTTAGGACTTAAAGATTTTTTAGACCCTGCAGACTATCTTTTGAATATCGATTTAAGTATTGTATATATTCCATTATTTCATAATTAAAGCAATTAAGATAGTATAAACAATGAAAATAAGCCCGACCGTACGGATTAGGGTTCAGAATGGTTTAGGCTTTAGAGACGTTCAAGGCTTGGGGAAGAATAGGGGTTGCACCAATCAAGCCCCAAATCCGAACTCAAACCTCCAACTTCCAAATCCTAAGCCAGGAACCCAAATCTCGAATCTCTTCCCAAACTTGCAGTACAGGATCTTAACCAAATACAATCTTATAGAGCCCCTTCAGAGCCCTCGTAGACCTTTGGAGACGAATATATAGGTAGTTCTCTAAACTAGGATCCCCTGTTTAGCTCCCCAAAATAGTACGGCGCTCTTATAAAGACGGAACCTGAAAGGGATCCTGGTTTAGAGAAGTCCCCGTATATAGGCAGATCTCAAATGCAGACGAAGCCTTCAGCGTGAGGCCTCCGCTTCGAGTGACCTCCTCATGCGAGCCTGTGCTATATTCTTAGGTTTAGGGTTTAGGGTTTAGGGTTTAAGGTTTAGGGTTTCTGGTAAGTTCCATGATACACTGAACACTGCGCTTTCGTAGGTATATCTGGCAACATGATGGTACGTTACATGGTACATTGTGCCATGATAGGCTATATGTTGCAACATTGTGGTATGGTAAATGGTACATTGTTGGGGACAGAGGTATACTAAGGTCGTGCGTTTAGGGGTTTATAGGGGTTGGCGAACTTGTGGTTCAGGGGGGTTTGAGGTGTAGTATTACAGGAAGGGCATGGCTTCGGATGTTCGGTTGTCTTGTTCTTTGCGGGTCTCCGCCAGATTGCCGCTAGGCTTTTTCGGTGTCGGAATCGCAGCCTCGTGCGTTGAGGAGGTGCGGGGTTTCGAGGCTCCTGTTCGAGCGAGCGAGAGATTGTGAGGGCGCCGGATTTTGAGGGCGCAGGGAGAAGGTTATATTAAGTAAAACATAAGCCCTAAGGTCTACATGTTCTGCTATATCCTCATCCCTAAAGGTTCTACTGGACCCTCAACCCTAAAAGTGTTCATAAACCCAGCCTGAACCTGAACTTCTAAACCCAAAGCCGTAAGCTTCTAAGACCTAAGGCTTCTCTTACCCTGAACCCCGAACCGAAACCCTATACTGTAAGCCTCCAACCCTAAACCAAAAACCCTACCCATAGGCTCATGCCCTACGCTTTTTTAGGTCAGCTTGTTGTTTGGTTAGGATGTCTTATATAGAAAAGTGGGTACCTCCAAAAAAGGGGTCGGGCATGAGCCTCTAAGTAAACCATCACTTCTAAGAGTTCTAAGTTCTAAGAGAAACCCTGAACCCTGAACCTTTTAACCCCAAACCCTAAACCCCAAACCCTAAACCCTAAACCCTGAACCCTGAACCCTGAACCCTTTAACCCTAAACCCCTAAACCCTGAACCCAACCTGAACCCTTTAACCCCAAACCCTAAACCCTAAACCCAACCTGAGCCCTTTAACCCCAAACCCTAAACCCTGAACCCTGAACCCTAAACCCTAAACCCTAAACCCAACCTGAACCCTTTAACCCCAAACCCTAAACGCTAAACCCAACCTGAGCCCTTTAACCCTAAACCCTAAACCCTGAACCCTGAACCCTAAACCCAACCTGAACCCTTTAACCCCAAACCCTAAACCCTAAACCCAACCTGAGCCCTTTAACCCTAAACCCAGGATACTTGGCCGGCCAGCTGATCGGCTGCGACCTGCTCTGGACTCTCGCGAGCTTGCAGCTGGCAGTGCTGTTTCATGGAAGCTTAGGGTTTAGGGTTTAGGGTTTAGGGGTTTAGGGTTTAGGGTTTAGGGGTTTAGGGTTTAGGGTTTAGGGTTTAGGGTTCCAGGGTTTAGGGTTTAGGGGTTTAGTAAAACTTTTATGTGAGGCTTAGGGCTTAGGGCTTAGAGCTTAGGGTTTTAGTACAACTTTTATGTGGGGCTTCGGGTTTAGGGTTTAGGGGCCGTTTCATGGAAGCATTATATTATCGGGGTCCTACTCTAGTTCAAGGTATACTCCTGAATGAAGGGGTCTTTGTATAATTGAAGGTATATTGCTCAATTGCCGGGTTTGGAGTCTCTGGGTTCATGGAGGCGACCTAAAATACTTAGAACTTTGGGGTTTAGGGTTTAGTAGAAACTTGATGTAGCGTTTAGGTTTTTGTACAGCTGCAAGAAAAGGGTGTAGGGTATGGAAGCGACCTAGAACTTTACGGGTGGGTTTTGTAGAGATGTTTGGGTGTAGGATGTAGTAAAACATTGAGGGTTTTGGGTTTAATACACAAAACGCTGAACCCTACACCCCCAAACCCCTAAACCCCCTAAACCCCCTAAATCCCCTAAGCCCGAAACCCTAAAGCCCTAAACCCTAAACCCCTAAATCCAAACCCCCTAAACCCCTAAATTCCTAAACCATAAACCCCTAAACCCCCTAAACCCCCTAAACCCCTAAATTCCTAAACCCTAACCCCCTGAACCTCCTAAACCCTTAAATTCCCAAGCCCTATAAACCCTAAACCCCTAAATTCCGAAAGCCCTAAACCCTAAACCCCTAAAGCCCCAAGACCCTAAAGCCCCAAAGCCCTAAACCCCAAATTCCTAAACCCCTACACCCTAAAGCCCCAAAGCCCCAAAGCCCTAAACCCCCAAACAACCCCCAAAAACCCTAAATTCCTGAAGCCCTAAACCCTAAACGCCTAAATTCCTCAACCCCTACACCCTAAAGCCCCAAAGCCCCAAAGCCCTAAACCCTCTAAAACCCCTAAACCCCTAAATTCCCAAGCCCTATAAACCCTAAACCCCTAAATTCCTAAAGCCCCTAAACCCTAAACCCCTAAAGCCGCAAGACCCTAAACCCCTAAAAACCCCCAAAAAAACCCTCCCCGAGGTTGGCCAAGCGATTCGCCCAGCCTTGGTGGCCAGGCTCTGACCTCCTGCAGACTTTGGCCTTGGGTGCGTCCCTGGCCTGGGCTGGGAAGATCATAGGGGAACCTTAAAGGTTCAGGGTGTAGGGTTTAGGG